GTTGATTCGAAGGAAGGAACTTTGGAAAAGATATTTGAGACAGTAAAGGGAATTTTACCTAGCTGGGGATTACAGATTGCCCCAGAAAAAATACAAAGAGTAGATTCTATCAATTATTTAGGTTATAAAATAGATATACAAAGAATGAGACCGCCAAAAGTACAGATCAGGAGAGATGGTTACCAGACTCTTAATGATCTTCAAAAACTACTAGGAGAAGGGCATAACTTAAAATACCTAAAAACGGTCCTTAAAGGAGACAAGGACTTAAATAGTCCACGAATATTATCAGCTGAGGATGAATTAGGATGGGTAGAAAAGAGAATATTAGAAGCACATGTGGACCATGTGGATCCAAAACTGGATTGCATTCTGGTTATTTTACTATCTAGAGAATACCACTCAGAGATTTTGATGCAGAGGGAAGGTATCATACTAGAATGGGTATTTCTATCACATAAACAGAATAAAAAACCAAAGACATATATAGAAAAGATCTCTGACTTGATTATAAAAGGTAAATTAAGGCTTCATCAACTCACTGGAAGGGATCCAATAAAATTATTGTACCTTTAGCAAATGAAGAAATTTCCTTCTTATGGAAGGATAATGAATATTGACAAAGGGCTTGCAGTAACTTTTTGAGAATGATTAGTAAAGTAACAATTATCCCAAAACAGAGAGAATCAAATTCATAAAGAATACAATTTGGATCCTTCCACATACTGTAAGAAAAACCGCCAATCTCTAGAGTTCTTACATTCTACACTGACACAAACAAGTCAGGTAAGGCAGGTTATAAATCAGAAAATATAAGTAAAGAAGTTCAAAGCCCTTACAACTCTGTACAAAAGACAGAGTTGTACGCCATTCTCATGGTACTTATGGATTTTACAGAGCCTCTCAATAGAGTTACGGATTCTCAGTACACAGAGAGTCATCTTACACATTGTGACTACAGAATTTATTACTGATGATACAGAATTAACCTCGTTGTTTATACAATTACAGAAAACCATCAGAAATAGAATTCATCAGATCCCATACGGGATTGCCAGGTCCTCTAGCACAAGGTAATGATGAGATTGATTGTTTATTAATATTAAGTGTGTTGAAAGCTTCAGAATTTCCTAAGAAACACCATGTCAACAGCAAAGGCTTAAGGAAGGGTTTTTCTATCACTTGGCAACAATCCAAGGAAATAGTAAGAAGCTGCCCCACCTGTTCATTCTATAATCAAAATCCATTACCAGCAGACAGTAATCCCAAAAGTATTCATAGAAATGAAATTTGGCAAATGGATGTATTTCACTCTCCAGAATTTGGAAGTATAAAATATGTGCACCATACTGTAGACATATTTTCAGGGTTCCAATGGGCTACTGCTCTTAGTTCTGAAAAGGCTGATTCTGTTATTACATACTTCTTAGAGGTGATGACTGTTACGGGTATACCTATACAAATAAAAACTGGCAATGCTCCAGCATGTCTTCAGAAAATTGGAGCAGTTTTTCAAATATTACAACATAAAACATGTAACTAGTATACCATACAATTCCACAGGACAAGCAGTGGTTGAGAGATCTAACCACAGCTTAAAAGAAATGCTTCATAAACAGCCAGGGGGAACAAACACCTCCAAACACAGATTACATGTTTTGCTAACATTGAACTTTCTTAATGCTAATGAGAAAGGACAAACAGCTACAGAAAGACACTGGACTACAGAAAAAACTTCTGAACTAAATCAACCGGTGTATTTCAAGGATGTTATGACCACAGTTTGGAAACCAGGATATGTGTTACCTTGGGGAAGGGGTTTCGCCTTTGTCTCTACATGAAAAGAAAAGCTTTCAATTCCATCAAAATTGATCAAGATTCGATCCAAACAGGAGAAACCTCAAAAAGAGGAAAGATGACAGCTCATCCACAAAGTCATATTCTATTATGTGTAAGGAGACCTCATGAAAGGAAAGAGGATTGTTTTGTTTTTGTCTTCACAGGAAAACCCATCTCCAAACAGCGAGAAAATACTGAATGTATGGATACCTAAAGAAGAGAGGATAGCCACCCAAAATACCATCAAACAAACAAGAATCTAATGTTTGGAATCAATGTCTAATTCTCTTAACCTTGCACTTATAATTATGTATTTCTCTTTACTTCCTAATGCTCTTTGGTCCCGATTCACTTAAACTGAAGCTGGCTTTGGAGTTGGATTTGGCTCTCTTCCTCTAAATCCAAGTATGTTGTTAAAAATAAAATTCAGAGTTTCTGTTTTATATCAAGGAGTCAATTGATGTAATACAAAAGAAAACACAATCTAGAGACTGTCATCTGTTTATACTCGGTTCTTTCTCTGAAAGTCTAATTTCCCATCTTCCTTATTGTTGCCTTTCCTGGTATGCATACATATAAAAGTTGAAATCTCTTTGTTGACATTAATGTTTGAGTTTTCCACAGAGAACAAGGAATTTTCTAACAGCAATCTTCAAACACCTCAGAAAGAAAATGGGACCCAACTTCATCAATTCCATCTGGTCTGACTTGATGCATCTGGACTGACAAGTACAACTTAAAGCCGGTTTGGGACTACATGACTCTACACAATTCCAGACTAATTAACTGATATGGTACACCTTCTACACTCTGGCCAGAGCCTCAGTCAAGATATTCAATCAAGCATCTCCCACCAACAGAGAATGAATGCAAATGAGACTTTTTGGTACACTAACATTTTCTTCCTACAGGATCCCATGAGGTTATCATCATCCCATTTCAACAGAAAGTAATTCTGAGAATACTATGCCCCCTTTTCTTACTGTTGATATTGCAGGGTAGTTTACACCTGATAGGGTTAGTTTTCAATTATTTAGGGTTGGGGTTGGAAGGTGTTCAGACGTGGGTATCTCTTTCAGATAAGTTTAGCTTTTAGATGGGATAGATATACTTAGGATAGGATATAAGTAGATTATAATTTGTTTATCACCTTCTAGGTAGATATGCTGTATATATGTTTGAGTTTGGTATCAAGTCTAAATATTTTCTTTAGACTAAAAGGGAATTGCAGGGAGAGATCACGTACCTGCAGGGTACATGGGAGGATTCAGGGATAAGAGATAGTAGAGGAGGGGACACTCTCTATCTCGGATTCTGGTTGAGGTTGGAGATCAGAGAATGCTGACCCCAGTTCTCGGCTTTTCAGTAAGTGACTGCTTTCTCTAATAAATATCTTAGAGCCCCCTTTCCCAATATTCAATGCGTGGATCTGTTTCATCTTCAATAGACACCCACAGAATCTTCTATCACAGCTCCAAGTACATATACTCCTCATCAGCACATGGTTCTTTCCCCAAAACAGTGCATATTTTAGATCATAGTGCAAATCTTAACAATTTTTAAAAACTGAAGTAATTTATTGTCTTATCCAATTATAATGGAACCAGGCTAAAAATCAATAGCCAGAGGAACTACATACAGGATCACTGCTATAAGAGTGTCTGTGACCCAGTAAGTCTTGAGCCTCCAAATAAACACACACACTTATATTAATTATAATTCTGTTGGCCACTAGCTAGGGCTTCTTATTGGCTAGCTCTGTCTTAATTATTAACCCATTTCTATTAATCTAAGTATTTCCATATGGTCACAGAGACCGCCTGACTTCCATTCTATCTTTCTGGGATCACATGATGATTCCTCTCTGCCTATACTTCCCAGAATCCTCCTTGTCTCCTGGTTCCACCTATCATTCTGCCTGGCCAATCAGTGTTTTATTCATCAACCAATAAGGCAAACATATATACAGAAAGACAACTCCAATCAGCTCATGCAAACACATGGAGTCTGAACAATATACTTTGAATGAAAATAGGACATTGAAGAAATCCAATTAAATGAAAATTGGAATAATGTATAAGAACTTGTGAAATATAGTGAATACATTAAGACAGAACACTCTCAAATAACCTAGTGATGTGTCTCAAGTAGAATAAATTAAAACCAGTAAAGAAAGAAAGAAAAAAAATCAGAGCTTGACTCAATTAATTAGACACTAAAATAATAGAAAGGATCAATGAAACAAAGGTTTGGCTCATGGAATAGATAAAACTAACAAACGTGGCCAAACTAATGAAAGGAAAAAGAGAAGAACCAAATCAGTAAATAGGGAATAGGAGCTATTATAACAGATATCACTGAAATCCAGAGCAACATTAATAAACATTCTGCACAGTTAAATTCCAATAAAATAGGAAGTCTAGAATAACTAAGACAAATTTCCAGACACATGTGACCTTCTAAAATTTAAAACAAGAACACTTAACCATTTAAACAGACAAGTAGCATGCAATGAGACTGAGCAATAATGAAGTCTCCTAACAGAGATAAACCAAGCTGGATGGATTCACTGCAGAGTTCCCAGACCTTTCAAGACAAATTAATTTCAGTGCTTCTAAAATGACTTCATAGAACATAAAGGGAAGAAAAGGTTCCAAACTTACTCTATAAAGATAAAATTCCCTCATAGCACAAAGGACAATTTGTGAGAATTGGTTTTCTTCCTCCATCATGTGGGTTCCAAAGATTAAAGCTGAACCATCAGGCTTGGTGGCTAGTGCCTTTACCCACTGAGTTCTCTTGCTGGTCAGTGTTCTAGTCCTTTATCTTAGTAAAGGTTAAAAGATTCATTTTGTAATAAATAGCTCAAAGAACTGTGAACCGACAGTGAATATACTTCATGTTTCTTATTCAGTTAAAATCAGTGTAAACATTTACTTACACATAGAGAAATAATGTGGAATGTAGGAGATAGAGGCAAAAGGATAACTGTCTAGCCTGGGCTAGACAGCTGGATCAAGATTTTACAATAACAACAAAAACACAAACCAATCATCAAAGATTCACAGGGTGGGGCTATAGCTCAGTGGCTGTGGTTGCCAGGACTCTGAATGTGATGTCCATACAGTTCTTCAAATCAACTTTAAAAGACTTAAAATTACCTGCTTTTTCTGTGTTCTGCTCCTGGTTTCCAGCCAATCATCAATTTGCTCCTCTATTTGTTCAATAGAAGTTCCATGATCATAAGACTGAATATAGGTATTTTCTAAAGGCATATATACAGGAAATTCTGGTTTTGGTTTTTTAACTTTAACTTTCTTCTGTTCTAAAAGGAATATTTAAAAGAATCAGTTATTGAGATTTATTCAGAATAGAAGAAATTAAAAATATTCTACAATTTTATTCATAAACTAAAGCTTTGAAGAATACATAAACAATGTTATTTTATCAAGACAGAATTGCTTTGTTGCAAATAGCTACAAACTCTATTGAGCACTGATCATTAATTTATTTAACAACAAACTCAGATGCCGTCAAAGTGATTATGACGGATCACATTGTTTGTATATACCTTCAGTCTTCAAAGTACCTTTCATTAAAATATTTTATTTGGGACAATGGAAAGAGCTTTAGTTTAGCATCTTAATTTTTTAATGATTTATTTTCATTTATGTGTATATGTATGTGTCTATATGAATGTGTAACACAAATATTCAGTTGCTCACAGAGGCCATAGGAGGGTGTCAGATACCCCAGAATTGGAATTATAGGCAGTTGGTCACCCAGTAGGTGACTTATCCAACTTGGGTATTGGGAATTGAAGCTTGGGTCCTTTGGAAGAGCAGGAAACACTCTTTTTGTTTTGTTTTGTTTTTTTGGGACATGATTTCTCTGTGTAGTTCTGGCTGTCCTGGAACTCACTCTGTAGACCAGGTTGGCCTCAAACTCAGAAATCCTCCTGCCTCTGCCTCCTGAGTGCTGGGATTAAAGCTGTGTGATACCACCATACTCTTAACCATTGTACCATCTCTACCTCCCCTAGTTTCTTAATCATACCCCTATTTCATATTAGCTACATATATCATTAATGGCATAAATTTATAGTTTTACTATTTTAGACAGAAATCTGATCTGGGAGCATCAATCAAATGTTGCACAAAAATATTTCCAAGGCAAATATTATGGTGGTTACAGATATCAACAAGCAACATCATAGGTATCTCAGTACACCCTAGGATACTCCAACAATGAAGAAGTTCCTTTCCTGTCTTCAAGCAATGCCTGGCAAGCAATGGATGACATTCTCACTAGTGACAACACTGGGAAGCTGCTCCTTTTCATCAGCAAACTCCTCTAGCCTCACAATGACATTTTTACAATGCAATATTTGTGTGTGCATGGGAGTATTATAATGTCACTGTAAAAAAAAATCAAATTTCTAGAAGAAAACAATCGAAAAACCTTTTAGTTCAGAGGGAAAATGACTTAGCAATGGATGTCAATAAAATTAAATATGCATTTGAAAGAAAACCAGACACAATCTTCTAATCATATAAAAAGTAAATTCCATCTGGAAAAGAGAATTTCAAAATGGAATTTTAAAAATTGCATGCTATATAAAGGAAGAGGAAATCTTAACTTACATCACAAACCCAAATTCCATAATAAACATAAGGGCAGCATAAATACCAAGAGATGACAAATTTGGAAAGAGTAACTGCAGCTCAGAGAACAAACAGTAAATTGATAAAGAGATTATAGAAAGTGGATGGGCAAACCAACAGAAAAAGTTAGTAAAGGTCATGACTAGACAATCCAAAAGATTAAATCCACAAGCCCACAAAACAAGAAAAGAAACCTACACTCAGGGACACCAGATCTCCCTGGGAAGGGGAAATAGATGAGATTTCGTGAGTGGACTGAGGGCAGATGGGGATGGGAAAAATGGTGGGGGGGCAGAGGAGGAGAGTACTCAAAGAGACTATTGGTAGAAACATGGCACAAGGGAATCTCTCAGGAATCTACAAGGAAGATTAGACTCCAGCAATGGTGGATAAGCAGCCTAAATTGGCCATCTCCTGTGACCAGACTGGTGCCTAGCCCAATTGTCATCAGAGGCTTCATCTAACAACTGATGGAAATAGATGCAGAACCACAGCCAAACATTAGGCAGAGTTCAGGGAATCCTGTAGAAGAGGGGAAGAAAGGATTGTAGGAGTCAGAGGGGTCGAGGATAGCATAAGAAAACTCACAGAATCACTAACCTGGGCTCATAGGGGCTCACAGAGACTGAATCGACAACCAGGGAACCTGGCCTAGGCCCTCTGCTTATGTTACAGTTGTGTAGCTTGGTCCTCTTGTGGGACTCCTAACAGGGGAACAGGGGCTGTCTCTGACTCTTTTACAGCCTTAATGCATGGGGAGGTGCTTGGTCTGGTTGCAGCTTGATATGCCATGTTTTGTTGATATTCATGGGAGACCTGCCCTTTCCTAAACAGAAACTGATGAGTGGATTGGGGGTGGGAACAGAGGGAGGATGGGGGAGGGATAACTGGGAGGAGAGAAGAAAGGGGGAAACTGAGGCCAGGATGCAAAATAAATTTACTTTTTGAAAGTGAGGGGGCTTCTTTCAGGTTAAAGAAATGAAAAATTCAAGTAATACCATGAATGATTTAAAACCTATTATGAGGGTACAAATTAAAAATCTAATAGCATAGCATATACTTCTGGTAGGGGACAGGCTCTTTTTAATGGGGGGGGTAGAAATGTGAATCATTCTATTATAACCCTGTGGGAAAATAGTCTGAGAAGATCTGTTAAAATTAAATATAAAAGTTTACTGAGCATAAAAGAATTTGAATATAATTGTAGACATGCCTATACATATGTCTGTGCTTATGTATGAGACTATTTACTCTTTATAGAGATACTAGTTAACAGTAAATGCCTTGTAAGAGACGACTACATAGTTACTGATGAGTCATCTACATGGAGAAATATTAAATTATCACTGAAGCAGAACTACAGTAGTAATTTCATGGGTATTTCAATGAATTTAAGTAGCAAAAGAAAGATCAGAAAAGAATGTGATTTCATATCTTAAAGCAAAATCATGCTTTTTCATATCCCTACAGTTAGACAAGTCTGCACATACATCCTGACTATTATAAGATTGGCTATTTTATAATATGGATGGCTATATGAAAGCATGTAGAGAGGAGATGAAGGAGAAAGTGTGCAGTGAAAACCATTACAGAAAGAAACAACACCACAGTGGAAACAAGAACATGTATGTGAAGGTATGTTATGTATGTTATGGGAAAACTATAGACACAACGTATAAGATGTACAACATAAACCTATTTGTAAATTCGGGGTTCTATAACTAAGGAACAATAGCTTGGTAAATACTCATTAAATTCTGTGCTTTTAAAGTAATTTATCAGATGAATTTGCCCCCATTTAACATTTTGCATTTGGCAAAATCTTATAAATGAAAAAACAAGTATTTTCAAAACTAAATGTCAAGAAAACATGCCTAAGTGACGCAAAGATTCCTATTTGCCAAGTACTCTCAGTATCCCTCCAATAATTGTGATTCAATAAAAATAGCAATTTTGGAGGTAGTTACATCAATTGTACCTCACTCCAGAGGAAAAACACCTAAGATTTTTCTTTTTAGCAGCATTGTGAGGTTTATTAAGAAAATTATAAGTTAATATAAAAACATAGTATTTTGATGCTACTTGTATGAATCTTACTGAAGTTTTCATTAAATTTTGATTGTACGCCTACAAGGATGTCTCTGCAGTTAAGAGCAACTACTGCTCTTCTAAAGAATCTGAGTTTGATTCCTAGAATGTGGGGGTTCAAAACTGCTTGTAACTACTCCCAACACCTCTGACCGCTACACCATATAATGTGTAGTCACATGCACATACCTACCCACTGACAAATACACATACATACTATTAAAAATAATAAAATATTTAAGAATTACCTCAAGATTTTCAGGCTACTGAAAGAGAAACATGGACACCAATCCAGCCATAAAACTTTTGACCTACAATCTGTCCTGTCTGCAAAATCTGCTAAGGCAATGGTGACACAGAACTTGTGGGAGTAGCCATCCACTGTCTGATTTGACTTAAGGCTCACTCCACTAGTAGGAACCCATACCTGACACTGCCTGGGTAACCAAGAACCAGAGACAAGATTGCCCCTAGACGCAGGGTAAAACCAAATACAACTGGTCAGAAAACAACAAAACCTGACAATCAAAATAATTCCTATGTCGGGTCGTTGGTGGTGCACGCCTTTAATCCCAGCACTTGGGAGGCAGAGGCAGGCGGATCTCTGTGAGTTCAAGGCCAGCCTGGTCTACAGAGCGAGTTCCAGGACAGCCTCCAAAACAATACAGAGAAACCCTGTCTCGAAAAACAAAAAAAAAACAAACAAAAATCCCTAATGGTATCTTCTATCATAAGAGAAAATTTCTCTGGCAGCTGATGGGAACAAATATAGAGATCCACAGTCAGATATCATGAGGGGAGAGATTATAAATGGGAGTTCCCCATCAAATCCCTCCCCTTAGAGTTGGAATCCTGAGGAAGATGAGAGCCAGAGGGGATGGAGGACACCAGGAGAACAAGGCTCTATGAATTAACTAAGTAAGGTGCATTATGAGCTCACAGAGACTGAAGCAGCAAGCACAGAGCTAACACAGGTCTACACCAGGTCTTCTGTGTATATCTTATTGCAATTAGCTTAGTACGTTTATGGGACTCCCGACTGCAAGAAAGAATGGGTCTCTGACTCTTGTGCCTGTTCTTGGGACTCTTTTCCTCCTATTGGGTTGCCATGTCCAAGTCTAATATGAAAGTTTTTGCTTTATTGTATATTTTATTTTGTCACGTTTGATTGTTATTTCTTAGAGACCTTTTCTAAACTATACAATCTAGAAAACTATAATGAAGTTGACAAAATTAAAGATTCCTTGCAGTTGGGTGTGGTGGTGCACACCTTTAATCCTAGCACTTGGGAGGCAGAGGCAGGCGGATCTCTGTGAGTTTGAGACCAGCCTGGTCTACAAGAGCTCGTTCCAGGACAGACTCCAAAGTCACAGAGAAACCCTGTCTCGAAAAACCAGACCAAACCAAACCAAACCAAAAGATTTCTTGTATGTAACAATTATACTACAATTTAAAATACACAACAGATTCTGACTCTGCTAACAGTAAATGCAATTGCTCTTTACTGTTCTTACCACTGATATTCTCATCTTTTCCAATATATTACTGATATGAAAACACAAGATGGTTTTATAACACAAGCCTCATATGAACACTGTGTTAGTGATGGATTGCTGAGTTTTACAAGGCTGTTTATTACATATCTTTACTAAAGAAGAGAGAAATTCCAGATGCTTGTCTATTTAAAATTTTGTATTTCTTTACATGATTTTTTTATTAAGTAACAAAATAAAAACTAGAATTTCTAGACCTGAGAGTTTTAACTGAACAGAATTTTAAGTCTTTAAACAAATGAATAATGGTTACAAACCTCCCATGTAGATTTCACATTGTGATAAGCATTTCATGTTTAACTCCAATTTTCATAAGAGCAGTATATATTCTTAATTTGCTATTATTAGACAATTCTGATATATATTCTAAAATTTTACTAATAAGTTGATTTGTTATAAAAATTAGATAAAAATGACAAGCTAAGAAGAAAGCAGTGAAATGTAGTGAACCCCTACCGCCTTAACAGGTAGATCGGGTTACTTTTAAGATTTTCCCTATTTTCTTTTTTTCCCCCCTATTTTCTTATAGGTTAATTTTCCTTCCTCACTTAAAAATATTAACTTTATTTAAAATGGAACAATTGTATAAAAATTACATTCAGAGTTTCATTTGACTACTTTTTCTGCCCAACACACAGTTAGTAATCTCCATACACAATCCTCTATTGTCTCAGTTCTTCTTATAGGTATCCACTTTAAATAATTATACAGATTAAAGTATCATCTTATAGTGGTTATAAGTTTTTGAGTTGAATTACATGCTCCTTGAAACAAGGTACTGTATGATTGATGCTTGACTGGCATTCACTGCTATTCTAGAATTCATACATTCATCGACTCATCCACTCATCATTTACTTACTGATCATTTACTGTGTGCCAGGACACTGTTCACTATTGCAGACACAAGGTGGAAAGGAAACAGTTCCTCTTCTAAAGCTGCCCAGACACAAGAACAACTATGATAGAAAATCTTTCCCTAAAAATATCTCTGTCTTGAAGACACAACTGTGACAAAACAAAGTCCTAGCATTTGTGGAGTTTATAACTACTGGGAGAAACTAGATATAAATAAAATTAATATTCTGCTGAGTGGTAGTAACTACCGTGAATAAAATAACCAGTATGTACAGTCAGCATACACATAGGAAAGATGTACATAAAACAAAGTCAAGAAATGTCTTTGTGTTCCATGGAACATTTCTATATTTTTCCTTTTGTTTAAAAACTTTTTAAAACACTTGTTTACTTTTGTTTTATACATACAGGTACTTTTATTGCGTGTATTGCCATGCACCACTTGGATGCATGGTACCCAAGAATGCCAGAGACTCAGATTCTCTGGAATGGAAGTTACAGATTGAGTCCTCTGTCAGATCAGCCAGTGCTCATAACCTGAGCCATCTCTCCAGCCCTGTTTTTATTATTATTTTTAGTAGGATCTTGCTGTGTAGCTCTGGCTGTCCTGGTACCCAACATGTAGTTCATGGCCTTCAGGGAACATGTCTTCTGTCTCAACTTTCCAGGTGTTGGGGTTACAGGTAGGAGTCCCCATGTCTGATTTCTTTTCAATATTCTGATAATTTATTTAAGATTGTTTGCATTATACAATAACATTACAAAAGAAGCAAAGGTTTTGAAAAAAAATTTTTTCTAGGTTTACTCACTGCTATAGTACTATATTAACATATGGCAGTTAGTTATCCATGGCATTAAATATTAATTATAATTTTAATACTGAAAGATAATTGGCCTTTACAAATTTAGAATGGTCTGTCCCAATTTGAAGAGTTGTATGACTCCAGGTTGATTCATCTCTCTTGATACTGGACTTTGTGTGGTCCATTAGCAGTATTTTCCATGTGTTAATGTAGTAAATACAAGTGACTTCATTGGAAAATGACAAAGAAAACACAGAAAAATCAACCAGTGTTAAAGGAAAGTTTGAATTTAGGTTAGTTTTACAGGACACTGTTAATAAAGTAAACAGCATTTAAAACTCACTTTGAAGAGTTTCAATTTCAGTTCTAGCCAATGCTTCTTCTTTTTCTTTCAATTTTGTCTCCTTGTATTTTGCATAAAACTGCCCAGCATCCTTAGAAAAGAAATGACAAGCAAATTAACATAAAAATAATTTTGTTTTGACAGTATGCTCCTTTTAGAACAATACACTCCCTTTCCATGTAAGTTTTCCAATGACATGATGAACAGAAGAAATTGAACAAACACTTCTCTGTAACATTTCTTGCCTGGAGAACTAAGTCCAAAAAGTGCATGGATGTAATTTTAAGTAAACTTTTCACACATGAAAAGGAGGATTTCCCTTCCAATTCTCTTTCACTGTTTGATGTCTCCCCACACACCATACTATTGTACAGGCAGCAGAAAAGCATACTGACTGAAACAAGTATCTGGTGTGGAATTACTTACTGTGACTAACAAAGTACTACCATTTTTGCATTACTACCTTAGCTCCACATCTTCTACACTGCTGACACAATTGAGCTCTCAATGAAAGCTGTCACTTTTCTTTCCTATCACTCTCAGAGAAGACTGCAACAGTTGCCATAGAAAACTGAAGACACAAACTACATATACTCAGGTGTAAACATCCAGTGGCTAGAGTTTCAGTGCATGGCACATAGCCAAGTGCTTAGCAAGGTTCCAATGTCACATAATGACAGAGATGAACGGAGTAAACTTGTTGGTTCTCTAGGCATATGACATTCCTAACAATTGGCAAAGTATATCTTCTCCTTGATGTAGGTCTCTTACATTTCAGAAATACCAGGCCATACTGTGCTTCCATACCTCTGTATTTGCTCTGCCCTCACAGTTGGACTGTTTTGATCCCTGCCATTATTTTGACAACTCTTTTTCATACTTGGAAACTGTGTGCAAACACCATTGCCTTTACCATCTCCAGCAGAGCAAGTCCCTGTACTTAAATACTCATATGCTTGTATCATGTCATAGTAACACCTAGGAGATGAGACATTTGAGACAGAACAAAGACTTGGCACTCTGTTTACTGAACTGAATCAAATTGGAACACATGAGAAATCTTATAAAGAAGGAAATGAGAAGGCATGATTTGACTGATGAAGAGTAAGGAAAGAAGTAGGTATCAAGGATAAGTTTAAGATGGTATTACTGTATTGTAAGATTCCTAGAGAAAATAAATCACCTGTGATTACGTCTATGGGAAATGAAGGAACACTACTACCTAGATCAACCGTAGATACACGAATGACCCTTCTTCATTTCATTCATGACTGTACGCAAAATCAAAGGTATCTCATGGGGTCTGTTTCTTGGGATTATGCTAGAACTCTATACAAGATTATGAATTAAGGAAATTTATATAAAGAAACTTCCTAAAACATTTGAATACATAGTGAAAATGTTTCTTTTTATTCTTTTAGTCCAACTTTTGTGCTCATAATTTCTAGAACAAGCATTCCTAAAGCCATAGGTCAGCTAAACAAATGTGGAATCAAAAAAGCATAGATAATAACTCATCCTCCCATACCAATATATACATAAATTAAACCTACATTTCCTCAAAGTCTGGGTTAAGGTTTTATGGCCCCTTAACATTTTCCAACCGGTTCCCCTAAAAAAAAAACCTCAATCCTATAGGAATATTACTTTGTAGCAAGTTGTATCAGTCACTTATACCTTGGTGTGAATGAATGAATGAGTTTATTAGCTTCTTTCCACAGAGTAGGTTTTAATAGCAGGGAACAAGAAAAGGCCAGGAAGGCACTGACTCCTTGAGGGAGTAGGAAATGTGGCACCATGCAAAAACAAAAGGGCACAGATTAGTTACTTATGAGGTGAAAGAGTATAGATCGAAATTTATCATCACAGGACAATGAGACAGTGTTTTAAGAGGACAGATCTGATTTTTGAGACAAGATCTGACTAGATACCCCATCAGGCCTTGAACTCAAGATCCTTCTACCTTAGCTTCTCAAGTGCTGGATTACTGGCACAAGTCAACACAAGAGAGGTGGTTTTGGAGTCTGCCTTTCTTTAGGAAGAAGTTAGCTCTTGTATTTTACCAGCTAGGCGACATTCAGCAAATTATTTCTCTATAGGTCAGTTTTCTCATTCATAAACGAGGATAATAAAAGTGTATAATTCAAAGGACTGTTAGAAAGATTTATCATTTTACTACTTAGGAGACACTTAGGATGATGCCATCTGCATAGTTAGGTCTTCCATATATCAACTTTTTTAATGGCTTCTTAATCATTTGGCATCACTGTACTTTTTACTACAAAGTAAGGTTGAGTTTTTATGCTTCACAGCTTACCAAAATGCCTCCTGTCAAATCCTGCATCATCCTGCTTCTCTTACTTCTCCTTGTCTGCACCTCGCTGAACCACTAAACAGACCTGCTCCTGGGTGTACCAGCCTCTTCTTAGACTTCCTGTCAACCTTGAGCATTTTCCCACCAAGATTTCCTCTTCCTGCCACAGAATGCAATTTTACCAATAATCTGCTTTGAAATAGTCATATGAGCCTAAACCATACCAAGAATTGTAAAGTATCAAAACCCTAAACCTACTCTAGTTAATTCAAGGTTGTTTTGCATTCTCTATCTTATTACCTGCCTGTTCAAGGCAAAGAATGTCATCTTCCATTTGTTCAAACTTTAAGCATTAATTGAAATGTTTCGATGTTTTTTCCTTACTTACTTGTACTTTCAAATTATAGCTATAACTTGCCTTTTCTAAGAAATGTTACTTCCCTAACAAATCTACAATTCAAACAATTCTACAGTAAACTAAACAATTCTGCTATGTTTCAACCATCCTTGTGAATATTACAGTATAACTACAATCAGGAAGATTCTAAAAGGAGTGTGATCGCGTGGTGAGGCAATTCAAAATTCTGTCTTCTATAGGAAGGGATGAGATTAAGGATAACAAGGTAACTACCTAAAGCATTTTTTAAGGCTCAAAGGAAGAATAGTATGAATATTGTGTAAAGTTCTAGAAATGAAGATTTCAATTTTGAATAAATATAAAAAATAATTTTCCAATAAAAATTAGCTGAAAATAAACTGACTCTGTATGTAGTATTCAAGAAATGAGTGAGTGGGTGGTATTCTTTAATATACAGAGATTCAAGCATTCAAAAGGATTTAAAAAGATACATTGCATTTAACATCCCTCCACCCTCTTGTTTTTCTTCAGGTGCTAATTCAAGATAATAGAATTGTTTAGTGAAGAAAACAAAAATGTTGGATCTAAGATAAACCAGTTTATTAACACAGGAGGTTAAAGATTTTCTGCAAATAAAACACTGTATCCATTCTCCTTGCCTTTAGTCCTAGTTAGTGATCTTCAGTAGTGTATCAAAACTATGGTATTACATTCCTTCAGAGCTTGCCTTCTTAGGGAGCTTGTAGTTCTCATGGCTAGAACTTTCAACAAAAGCCTTTCCTCTAGAAACAACTTTTTTTATACTCAAATGTTCTGCAAGAGTTCAAAATCTGCCTGTACAAACAGCAAAGATTTGGTTTTACATTTAAGAGTGTGGCAAATCTAAAGGATTTATGTTATCAGTATTTGTACATAATTATGAAACATGGGCTCCTGAACAAGAAGCCATTGGGCTGCTATATGTATTTAGATTTACCTGATAAACCATTGCTGTATGTGTTGTGCTTTTTACAAATATGTTGGGATTATTTATCATAAAATAACAGTTGCACTTAAGGAATATGTAAAAAATACTATATTAAAAAAATTTTAGGCTGTAGAATACAGGTTCCATAAAAAAGGAGCATTTCTTTTATTTGCTTGGAAGGGCGGCAGGTGGAAGTATGTCTTTCTGAAATCAGCTGACCGAAAAGATCATGGAACTCTCTGGCTCTTTGTACTGCCATGGTGAACAAGGAAGCACAAGTGGACTCAGGAGGTTTGAGGTAACAGCTAGATGCTATGGAAGGCATCATTGTTCTGAGCCTGAGTGGCATGAGACCTGAACAATGCCCCATTTCCTAACAGCCAACAGACAAGTGTCTAACTTACAAAATAATTGCAATCTATTGGATTTTTGTATCAGTCTATTGTGATAAGTTGAGTATATCTCATATATAAAAATGTTTGAGACCAGAAGCATTTTAGAGCTCTTAACTTTCCAATGACTACTGTATATTCACATATTTTGTCCAGTTTTAGACTATGTGCTAATATGTAATGGGACCCAAATCTAAAGATAAAATCTTTAATGTCTCACATATACTGTATACACATAACAAGAAGGTAATTTTACAGACTATTCCTAATTTGCACAAAACAAAGTCAGTGGACACTGAATCATCTGAACTATGCCATCATGTCAGCACTCAAAAAGTTTTATATTTTGGATTTCACATTTCTGGAACATTCAGTGGGAACTCTTAGTTAGCCTGACAGAGATTTTATTATAAAGAGAAAAATTTAGTAAAATGCAATACTTGAGGTAGGTAGGTTGTAGTACAGGCAACGCCCATGCATCAATCTTTATTTTGACATTACTGACATAGTGATATTAAAATAACATTCTTCGTTGGCATTGTTGGTTATGTTTTAGTTTGCTTTTACTTCTCCCTAAATACCTCAAATAAGAAGCAATCTGATACTTTAGAAAAGACGGACACTAATCTAAAGTGGCGGGAGCAGGAAGATGTAGGGTAAGGCATGTGGAAGAGACCTGGAGAGAGGTGGGTGGGGAAAGGATGAAGGATGTCTCATGTAAGGCTGACTGTCTGACAGTACCAATCTCTTGATTGCAGCTTACAAATAACCTTCCAATAGGAAAATACCATAAGCACATTCCTGAAAACGTGCCTACAGAGTCATAGGTTCCATTGCATTTTGTTGAACCATTCACTAATGATACATTCTTAGACTTACATATAATATATGATAATATTATAATAAATAATAGGAGAACTTCACAATTGTACACTTTGGGTAAGAGTTGAATTTCCTGCAAAGAGGTAGAGACTACAGCTTTCTCTGCCTGAGATAGTCATACTGATAAGGATGTGAAGCAAAAGTTGCTTTTGCTTTTGGGATGAGACAGAACAGGAGC